CCCCCGTGAGTGGGCATGTGAACTAAGGGATACATAGTAGCAATACAATAACTATGTGTAGCACATAAGACTTCTTATTTTTTGAGTTATAGATGGACACAACATCTGTATTTTATTGATTTATTTTTATGTGGTGCCAAGGATCGAACCCAGTGCCTCAAGCATGTGAGGGGAGCGCTCTACCTCAGAGCTACAAACCCCAGCCCAGCACATGATACCTGATAATGATAATAAATGATGCTGCCACTCTCTTACGTATTTACTAGACTAACTTTTCATCTTTTGGGGGAGAATCGAGCCCACGACTTGGCACTGTACAGCTGAGCTCCACCCCCAGCCCATACCCGTGTTTCAGAGTGTACTCTACTTTTTCTTTTCTTCTTTTTTAAGTGGTGCTGGGGATGGAACCCAGGACTCTGCTCAGCTGGGCAGCCCTGTCTCCCTGCACATGCCAGCCCAGCAGACACGCCTGCTTGTTAAAGGAGAGTCAACTGGTCCTTTGGTCCATCCAAAAGGTGGCAGCTCTTTGCCTGTTAGTCCCTGAGGACCCCTTAGTGGGATAAGATGATCCTGACCCTGGGCTCACGTGTACGTTTGTGTCTTAGGCTTGTTTTGTTCATGGTGCTGGGGACAAAACCCAGGACCTGAGCATGCTGAACACACAGTCTACCACTGGCTTGCTCCCCCAGCCCTGTGTCTTAGTTTTTAAGAAAAGTTTTTTTTTGTTTTGTTTTTTTAAATTTATTTATTTATTTATTTTAGTTCTCGGGGGACACAACATCTTTGTTGGTATGTGGTGCTGAGGATCGAACCCGGGCCGCACGCATGCCAGGCGAGCGCGCTACCACTTGAGCTACATCCCCAGCCCTAAGAAAAGTTTTTAAAACTACAATGATAAATTTTAAAATAGAAGAAAACTTATAGAATAAGAACATAAAAACCACACACACACACACACACACACACATTTTGCAGTGCTAGGGATTGAACCCAGGGTCGTGCACATGCTAGGCAAGGGTTCTACCACAGAGCTACATCCCAAGCCCTTTTTTATTGTTTTATTTTGAGACTGGGTCTCACTAGCTTGCTGAGGCTGGCCTGGAACTCGCCATCCTCCTTCCTCCTGATTGGCAGGGATTACGTTGATGAGTGCAGCTAAGTGTTCTCCAGACATAAAGGCTACACAGTAGTGCACAGTAGCCTCCTTGACTTTCACCAGCACTTCCTGACTCCAGGCAGCTGCCGGTCCTGCAAGCCCCACCCACGGCAGGTGGCAACGCAGGTGTACAGTTTTTACCTTTTACCCTGTATTCTTGCCGCACCTTTTCTGTGCTTAGAGGACACTTGGCACTGTGTCACCGTTGCCTACAGCGTTAGGTACAGTAACACGCGGTGCAGGTGTGCACCTAGAGCGTTGGCTTCACCACCTATGGGGGTGTGTGGCTGCACCACTGAGGTTGGTGCAAGTACACGAATATGTCCACAGGACGACAAAATCACTTAGCAACGCTTTTCTCAGAACACCACTAGCCCAAGGGCAGCCTTCCCAGAGAGCCAGAGAAAGTGCCCACTGGGAGGGAAGTGTATGGGGGCAAGGGGGCACAGAGGAGGAAGGGACCCAGAGACACCGGGTGGGACATCCACTTTGTCCCCAACTCCAGTGACCTGCCTGGCCTGGGCTGTAACTTCCCTGTGCCTCTGGGTGGAGGGAGGACTGAGTCAATCCAGAAGCCACAGTGAGGATGAGGATGGATGAATCTGGAACACACTGGCCAGAGAACCCAGAGGAGTTCACAATGACTGGGTGATGTGGAGGGAGGAAAGGCAGGTCAGAAAATCCCTCAGAAGGTTGGAAATTCAGACCAGAGCCCAAAGGAGGAGTCGGACCTGGGACATGAGTATAGGCATCGTTAGGAGTGGTTTTTTCTACTTCTGTGAAGAATGTTATTGGTGTTTTAATAGAATTGAATGTGTAGATTGCTTTGGGGAGTATGGACATTTTAACCATATTAATGCTTTCAATCCATGAACGTGGGATGTCCTTCCATTTGTTGTGTGTCCTCTTTGATGTTTTTCCACCAGTTTCTTGTAATTTTCATTGCAGAGATCATTCACTTCTTGCTTAAATTTATTCTTAGGTATTTTATTTATTATTTTTGCAGCTGCTGTGAAGGAGATGATTTCTTTCTCAGCAATTCTGTTATTGGTGTATAAAAAAGCTACTAATTTTTATGTGTGGATTTTGCATCCTGCAGCCTTACTGAGTTTGTTTATCCTTTCAATCAATTTTTTTTTGATTGAGTTTTTAGATTTTTCTCTGTATGAAATCATGCCATCTGCGAGCAGAGATAATTTGACTTCCTCCTTTCCTACTGAGATGCCCTTTATTTCTTGCTTCTGCCTGATTTATTGCTCTATCTAGGGCTGTGCTTTTCTAAGTGTCTCCTTATTTCCAGATCTGTTCACAAGTGCCCACAAAGACTGCCCCATGCCCCAGGGCACAGAGCCCAGGAATCCAGACCTGCCCTCCAGCCACCCACCCACCATTGTTGCAGACCATGTCACTGGCAAGGTAACCTGTCACTCATCATCCCCCCCATCTGCCTGTTCCTGGTTCCTAGACTGACCCCCTACAGATCCCCACAGAGAGCGAAAACCATTCCAAGCTCCTTCCTTCCCTGCCCAACTCAGCTTCTTCCTGTGGCATTGGGCCCCTGCCCTTGAGGTTTGTTGTTCAGCCCAGGGAGGGTCTGGATTGACCTGGGCATCCAGAGACCCGGCCAGCCCTCTTTAGAAAAGATAACCGAAGGTCCTCCCACCCAGATTAACTCAGCCTTGCAGACAGCAGGGCCGCTACCCGCCTGTGACCCTTCACAACCTGTACCACCTCTCAAGAACACAAGAGTGGAATTCTCAGTGCAGGTAGATGAGGAAGATGTGGCTAGGGAACCCAGATCTGGTGCATAATTTCCACCCCACCCCCCAGATTGTGACCTGAACTCCCAGTTGGACACAGTTGCTTTTTTTCTTGAGCACCTACTGCATGAAGAGCACGGTGCTGGGCACTTAGTGTCATGTCATTATGCTTCACCACAACCTTGGGGGTGGATTTAGTCTGCCACCTTCCACAGAAGAACAGAGGTTCTGAAGGTCAGGTCCCTAGTCCACAGACACCTGGCTAGAAATGACAAAGTGGAGAGCCACACCTGGGTCTGATCTATGGCCTCTCCTCCCAGTGCCACTGTGGCTCTCCTCCTCTCTCTGCTGCCGGGTGACACCAGGGCATGACCCAGGAGTGCAGACTCCACCTCCTGGAGCACCAGAGGCCGACCCACACCTGCCCTGGGGAGCCAGGGCTCGGCCATCTGCTGGCAGGGTGTGCGGAGCCCTGCCTGACCCTCTTTCTCCTCTTGCTGTAGGACAAACAGATGGATTTCTGTTGGGATCCTTGGCAGGTCAGTGCACTTGCTGTCCCCAGTTTAGCCAGCCGCAGCTGACACCATCTGCACCTGCTGTGCCCAGCCCAGGCCCACATCCTGCCAGCCCTGGGTGGGGGGATAGGCCCTCCCTGGCTGTACCTGCCCTCTCCCGGCCCACCACCCAAGGGCCTGGGGTGGGCTGCAGTGGTGTGGGGACACCCTCTGGCAGCCTGCCCTCCTGCTGACTCCTCCCTGCTTCCTCCAGAGGTGCTTCCAGACCACCAACGGCTACCTATCCGACTCCAGGGCCTGCTCCGGCAACTACGGCGTGGCAGCCCTGGCCACCTCGTCCCTTGTGGGTAGGTTCCAGCCGCCTGCTCCTGCCCTTGGAGCTGGCATGCTCCACCTCGTACGTGAACTTGGGAAGGCAAAGCTGAACTGCCGCTGGAGGACAGCGGCCCTTTGGATTCCTTGTTTTCCAAGCGCCGGGCTCCATGCTGGGCTCCGGGTGACCGGAGGGTTCCTGCTGCCAGGGGTTGAGTTGTTGGCTTCTGAAGACGCTTGAGGTTGGCCCAGATTTGGGGGATGTCTGTCTGGTGTGGTCTCCCTGCCTCTGTGCCACCTGCATCTAGCGGAGCCTGGAATAGGATCCTGTGCTGAAGGGTCACCCTCCAGCCCGAAGGAGTGTGGGAGGCGGCCGGGGCTGCCGGGGTGCTCAGCCTGGGTCCGGTTCTGGGAGTCTCCTGCCAGCCCCCCGAGAGCTTGCAGCCCCAAGTGCCCCTCAGAATTGGCAGCGATTGAGGCAAGGGGGCTGGCTTTATGTCCCCCACTGGCCATTCCTGCGTGGCCCTGGGAGGATTCTGCCACCTCGCGGCCTCTCAGAGGGGACAGCCACAAGCCTCAGCGGCTCTCCAGAGAGGGTGCGGGTGTGAACCAAGACAGCGCACCGCAGGCGCTGGGGTGGGCACGCAGCCTGGGGAGGGCGAGCTGCTCCCGGGACGCTGCTCCGGGTGGCACTGACCACCCTTCCGGGCCAGCCCACCTGTCAGCCAGCTTCGCCACCCCCCCACGCCTCAGGCCCCCCTTGCATGAGATCCCTCACGGCTCCCCGGAGCACCCTGCTGCCCACGCTCCCCTGGTACCTGTGAACCCCACTCCCCCAAACCCCCGACTGCCAGCACCCTGCCACCCGGGGGCTCAGCTCTCCCGCTCTGCCTCCCCTGGGCCTGTCCTGCCGCCCCAGGTCCCCATTTGCTCTGTGGCCACCTCTGTGGCTTCAGGAACACTGTGAACCCCAGGTCTGTGTTCTCGGCCGCAGGTCACGGAGACGCAGAGCCACCCTGCCAGCCCTGCCCCTCCGTCCACGCCTGAGAACCCTCTCCTCCCACCATTCCAGTGGCCTTTACTTTTTCTGGGTCCCTGCAGTGACCCCCCGTGGTGCCCTTGCCTTCACCCTTGAACCCTGATCCTCCGATCAGGAAGCTGGTCCTAAACAGCAGGGCCAACCTGTCCCTCTCCTGCTGCGGCCCCCGCTGCTGTGAGGACACCTGAGCCTCAGCCTGGCTCTCTAGGCCCAGCCTGGCCCCTGGGGGCTCCCTTCTCCTGCTGTCCTAGTCCTGCGGTCACCCCCGTGTCTCCCCGGGGGGCTGGAGTCACACCAGGCGCTTCCCGCCTCTCATCTCTGAAATAGCCCCAGCCTCGCCCCCACCTGCCCAGCCCCAACCTGTCTCCAAACTCCAGGCCGTTCCTCCAGGCAGCCCTCCCTGCTGGACCACCCAGGCCTCACTGTCAGCAGAGCTGAGAGCAGAGATGCTCCCAGGAACTGTCCCTGGGTGGGCGGGGCTGGGGGACCCTGGGTAGGGAAGGAAGTGGGGTGGTGGCCACCCAAGAAAGAAGCACTCAGTGGCCCCCGTGTTCACTGGGAGGAGGACACTGGAGGGGCAGGCATGTGAGTGGGTGGGGTCCTGTGAGGTGGGGTCCAGCTTGGGAGGGCACAGGGCAGGCCTGGGCAGTGAGTGAGGCATGGGCTGGGCATGGGGAAGGCACAGGTGCAGCCACAGGGTTGTGTCTGGCATCGGGCTTGGGGGATGTGTGGTTGTGGGGTCCAGACCCTGGGGTGGGCCAAGGGTATTGGGGGTCCGGAGCTGGGCCTTGTGGGACAGCCATCGATTGCCCTCAATGACCCAGGGGTGGTGCAGAGCATCAAGGACCACATCACCAAGCCCACGGCCATGGCACGGGGCCGGGTGGCCCACCTCATCGAGTGGAAGGGCTGGAGTGCCCAGCAGTCGGGCTGGGAGCTGTCCCCAGCTGAGGACGAGCATTACTGCTGCCTCCCGGATGAGCTGCGAGAGGCTCGATTTGCTGCAGGTCAGCAGGGGACAGGGAGGAGACAGAGGTCACCACAGGTGGCCACTGTCTGGGCAGGGAAAGTAGAGGCCTGGGGTGGGCAGGGCAGGGCGTCCTTGGTCCCCTGGGCACGGCTGGCCAGCTCACAGGCCTGCTCTGGCTGGGAGGCCCTGCCCGCCCGCCTGTGTCCCCAGCGAGCCGGCCTCACTGTCCCCCAGGCGTTGCTGAGCAGTTTGCCATCACCGAGGCCACTCTGAGCGCCTGGTCTTCGCTGGACGATGAGGAGCTGCACCCCGACAGCAGCCCCCAGGACGCTGTCCAGCTCCAGGGTACAGCCCATGGGGGCCGGGCGGGGCGGGAGGAGCAGAGCACAGGCCGTCCCCTGCCCTGGCACCAGCTGCAGCGTGCGTGGCCTCCCCTTCCTCCCCTCAGCCTCGGTTTGTGCTACAGAATGGGACGGGGGGTGCTCACTCTGCATTGGCCACGGCGTGTCCCCAGCAGAGGGACAGCCACTGTGATGTAAGAATCAGGCGTCTGCCACACTAGGCACTTCCTTAGTCTCCCCCGCAGCCCTGGGGAGCAAATCCCATTGTCCCCACCCCAGAATAAGGAGACCGAGGCGCGACGAGGTCTAGAGGCTCACCCGAGGGTCACAGCGGGGAGTGTCCGAGCCAGGATCTGGAGCCGACCCCCAGGCACCCCCAAACACCTTTCTAGAACTCCGAGCGACTAGGGAGGGGGTCAGCGAACCTGGGTCCTGCATTAAGTCACCTCATCTGATCCTTCCTCTGACCAGAGGGCAGCACTGGTTGTCCGGGTCCTCTGAGCCTGCTCTTTATTAGGCACTGGGCTCAGGGGCTCTGCGCTGTGAGCTCTCCAGCAGGAGAGGGACAGGTCTCGTGCCCTTGGGCTCCCTCACACGCCCAGAAGGTGAGCAGGGGACGCAGGCCTCAGCGCCCCACCCCCTGTTTGGTTTTCCAGACCTGGAGAGCGTCTACCTGCAGGACAGCCTTCTGAGCGTTCCCTCGCAGGACGACAGTCTTCTGGCCTTCTCTTCCCCGGGCCTCTCCACGGACGGCTGGCCCTCGCCCCAAGAGCCCCCCGTCACAGCTGCCAGCCCACCGTCCCCCAGCTCTGAACAGCAGTGTCAACAGCAGCTCTTGGGGGGCCTGGGGCCCGAGGGCGGGGCCCACCTGCAGGGCTCCCTGCCCTCGGTGAACAGCGGCTCCCTCTCTGAGGAGGACGAGGTGTTCTACAACTGAGGCTGACCCCTCTGCTCCAGCGTCTGCTCAGACCTCCACCTTGCCTGGCGGGCAGCCCAAGATTGCCGGGACCGTGGGGTCCGAGCTGGGCACCTCCTGACCCTCAGGGCAGCAGGGATGAGGCCAGCACTCCTGTGGACCACTGTGTGCCTCTGCGGACCTGCCCAGCAGGGGAAGCCATGGTCTCCCTCTGTCTTCTGAACTCGGCCACGTGGGCACCTTCCCTGCAGGCCTTCTGCCCTCAGTGAGCTCCAGGACTCTCAGCAGATGCCAGGGCAGCTGGCCCCAGGGAGAGCGCCATGAGAGGAACTGCACGGCCACTGGGAGCCCGGGACCCCACCTGGAGCCTGGCTCCGCTCCTCCCTACTCCCTCTGTGCATCTGTCCCTGTCAAAGATGGGGTGGTCTCTACTGGTAGCTCAGCGCCCACTCCTCCGCAGTCTCCGGAGTGTCTGTTCCTGGCCCTCTGAGCCTGCTTCCTTGGTGTCCCCCCCACCCCGCCCCGTCCCCCTCAACGTTCTCTGGTGACATTAAAGTGGTGGATTCACCCTGGATGAGCTTGGCCTGGTCTCTGCTCCTGACGGCATGTCCTTGGGCCCTGTCTAGAGGAAGTAGGGAAGGAAACGTACCGCTGGTTGACCACAGCCTTCCACATGGGAGAGGCCCCGTGCAGGACGCCCCAGGCTCATGGACTCCCCAAGGACAAACCTGGGGGACCCCACTTGATCAGCCATGGCTCAGCCAAGGGAACTAGGGCTGGAGTGACAGTAATTGTGCAGAGTCCTGTTTATTCGTGAGGACAAGCATCATAGGACCTGGGCGGGAGGGCTCTCTCCCCCAGCATCTCCCTGCTGGGGAGTGGGGCACGAGGAGAAGACCAGGGATCCAGGCCTGCAAAACCCAGGTGGCCACCAGCAGCCTCAAGGGCTCACTCTGGGCTAGCACAGGGGAGCCAAGGGGCCAGCCCTGGGAGCAGGATGGATGGCCGCTCAGGAGCGCCTCTATTTTTCTCAGGAGCTTTTGGTTGGGAACAGACAACCCCCAGAAAGCACAGGTGCCATCCCTTCATTCCTGAGCTTCATGACCACTCGCTGGGCGCCCTGTGCCCCTTACGCTCGCAGCCCCATCCAGGGTGGGGTTTGTCCTTCAAGCAATAACTGCTGTTGGCCCCAGGATGGGACACAGCGGATGCAGGGCCTCTTCAGGGCTCCGTAGCGCTGCCTGCTCCACAAGGCACGGAGCTGGGCTGGAGGGGTGGGTGGGTTGTGGTGGGGAAGAGAGGAAGGTCTCTGCCCGGCCTGGCATGGGGTAGCTGGGTAGCTCACTTCGGGGCAGGTGGATTTGTCAGGTTGGAAATCGCTTTCTTCAACTACAACAGAGGAAACGGGGTTTGGGGAGAAAGCACGTGCAGGAGGCTGAGAGTGGGGCCCTGGCGTGGTGACTCCCCTAGTGGTGGGTTCTTGGGCCAGCATCTGAGCTGCAGCCTGGTGGTTGTGCAGAGGGGTCCCTGCTGCCCAGAATGGCAGGCCGGCTGTTAGGGGTAGCCAAGGCCCAGTGGCCACACTGGTTCAGGTATGGGGCTTATCAAAGTCTTTTCGAGGCCCCCAAACCTTGAATGGAAGGATGTTGGTGCCCCCCACCCCTCATCGCCCTGCCGTTGAGACCCTGGTACCTCCACCCAGGACACGAAGCCCACAGCTCTGCCCCGTGACGTCACGAAGAGGGACTGAAGGTTCAACAGCTCAAAGAGGTTGTGCGTCTGGAGGGGAGGTTGGTAGGAAATGTTGGTGGGCAGGGGACCCTATGCCAGGACCTGAGTGAGATGGCCCCCCCGCAGGCTGGGGAAGGAGGGACCTGTCCTGCAATATCTAATGTGACCACCAGGGGTCGCCAGAGTCCATGCAAGGAGCAGGGCAAGGCTGTGGTGGAAAAGTGGCCTTTACCAGCAAAGTGCCCCCCAGCCCCCTGGTCTGCTGTGCTCTTCCCCTCCCCAGGCTCTGTCCTGAGTGGATACTACATAGGGAGCATGCGCTGGACCTAAAATTAAAAGCCACCAGGCCCCACGTGACACTTAACCCCTCTCTCTACTCAGAGGCCTCTGCCCTGGCGGTGAGGGGCAGGTGGGCGGCACCTGCCGAGGAGGAACAGGCCCCGGGAGCAGAGAGCAGCCCAGCACAAGGGAGGGGCTGCCAACTGCTCCCTGTGTGCCCACCCCGCAGCCCGAGTCTGCCCGCATTCTCTAGTGCTCCCCGGTACCTGGTGCAGGGAGGTCTCTGGGGACAGCTGCAGGGTCACGGGTTCCATGGGGCAGCCCCCAGCCAAGATGTCCTGGAGACACCGCTGGAGATGGAGGATACACAGTGGGGGTCTGGGCCAGCCTCCCTCCCCAGGCTGCCACTCTCAGGCCACCTCTCGGGCAGGTCAGCTGGCCCCTCCCGTCACTACCCTCTGACCTCCCGACTCGTCCTCCAGAGGACCTACCTGTTGTCCTGGAGCCCAGGATGGGGGGTCGGTCTGGAGGGCCTGCACCAGCGGGGCCCTCGGCACGATGCCCACCAGGATCTGAGACTCTAGCAAAAGCGGAGAGAGAGCCGAGTCACAGAGAAGGAATTCTCCTTTACCAAGAATCTTCAAGGTCAAGGATGGTGCTGCGCCCCACGTCTCTGAGGGCGTGGGGCAGCCTGGGTCTGCTATAACCCTGACTGCTCGTTTTACAAAGGAGGAAACTGAGGCTTCAGGCACAGAGGACCTCTTGTCCTGCCCAAGGTCGCCCAGCTTCTGGCGTGGGGGTGCGGCAGCTCAGGTGGTTGGGAAGGCCGCCTGGGGGGGCAGGAGGGTAGCAGGACTGGGCTTCCTCCTCCGTTTCCCACAGGAGGTTCCACAGCCAGCTCAGCCAGAGCAGGAGTGAACCCAGGGGGCCACCATGTTCTGTGGTCCTACTGTGTGCTGGGGGCTCGGCAAGCCTCTCTCTAGCCCTGGGTTATCAGGGGAGTTTGCAGGCTGGAGGAGCGAGCTTGGCATTTTAACCCTGCATCCAGTAAAATACAAACTCCAGGCTGGGTGTGCCGCTCAGGGCCCGGGTTCCTTCCCCAGCAACACAAGGAAAGGACTGGAACTAGAATTATAAGCACTCTCCCCGCCTGCAATCCACAGAGCTGTTTCCTGGGTGGGCGGTGATTCTACCGCCTGGTCCCCTCTGCCTGGGACCTCCTTGCTTCCTGTGACTCAGCAGAAGAGATCTTTCAGGTCAACTCTTTGTTTAGGAGGAAAGCCTCTTGGCAGGGTCAGCCATGTGCAGCATCTTGAAATGGGATTCAGGCCTGTTCTGGAAGGTAGTGCCGAGGGTTTCCTTAGGGTTCGGACGAGTGCCTGATATTTGGGTGATGACCTCTAGCAACCTTCTACCATAGTGATCCCCGTTTTCCAGACAAGGGCACTGACTTATGCAGCCACAGTTCTTGAGCTCATCAGTGGCCTCTTGAGGCGGCACACAGGGGACCCATAAGGTTGTGCAGGTTGCTCACTGCCCCAGATGCCAGCTCAAAGGACAAGTAGGGACTAAATCCAGCTATGTCATGTGCACTTTGTCTCACTACACAGAGGGGACGTGTGGCTGGTAGTAGCCCTGATGGAGCAGGGCCACCCCTCCCCAACTTATCTTTACTTAGATACTGGACTTTCAAACAGGAAAGATGTCTGGTTCCCTCCTTCCCTGAGATTCCGTTTCTGTGGAAGAGCCACCATTCATTTGTCTACAAACATGCTTTGTCACTGGGAGAGGGCACTCAGGTAGGGAATTCTGCAGGGAAGCCCGGAGGGAAGCTTCTGGAAGACCCTAACAGTGGCCCATCAGCCTTCCCCAACCCACAGGCCACCAGGCCAGGCTCCTGCAACAAGTCCCAAAGCTGCTCATGGGGTACCTTACAACACCCCTCTTTTATCCCTTAAACACGTGGTTTTATGTCCATTTTATTGATGAAGAAACTGAAGCTCAGAGAGGTGAAGGGACTTGCCCAACGTCACACAGCTGCTAAGCTGCAGAGCCTGGATCCGGTTGGGATCTACACCCTGGTTGCCTTTTCTGGCCCTGATCCTTGGAGGCCCTATGGGAAGGCAGAGGGAGGCCCCCGCCCCAGCCCTTCCCCGGGCACCTGTGCTCTCTACCAGGGGGTACTCGGCCACGTCTGTGGAGGTCACGACCTTGACCACCTCCTGGAGCGGCGTGTCCTTGGCCAGCGTGGTGAGAGAGCGGTTCATGAAGTGCTCCACGGTCACGGGGTGGGAGCTGCGGGCAGGGGGATGTTCCCTTTAGGTCCTGGAGTGGGGACATCAGACCCCAGGATGGGGCAGGGGCCCCTAGGGGGTGGCTCTGCTGGGACAGGACCCACGATCCTCCAGTGCGGGAGGAGACTGAGGGGCTGTTGCAATGAGTGGCTCCCGGGCCCTCGGGTGGACGGGAACCTGGGGCCATGTCACTGAGGCCCTGCGTCCCCGACCAGCTCTGCTGGGCTGTTCCACTCGGCAGCCTTCCTGGAGAATCTCATTGGAGGGGAAGTTAGATGGGAGGAAAAAAGACTTTAAAATTTGGAAGCCCCTGGAGTAGCCACCCGGGCCTTGCAGCAGGCAGCTGAGGCCCGGGGCAACCTGGCAGTTTGCATCCGTGGGCGCCGAGTCTCAACCCAGGGGCCCTGAGCCTCAGAGTCCCGCTTCCCTGGGGTCAGGAGCTGCGTGGGTCCTCCCTGGGGGAGCGAGGGCCTCGAAGCCCACTCCGTGTCCACCTCCAACCACGAGCCAGGAGGACAGAGGGGACCTCAGATCTGGTGCTGGCCCTCAGGACCTGGCGCAAGACAGCACCTGAGCCCCAGCTTCAGGCAGCCAATGCGGCCCCGGGGAGGCTGAGGCCGGGGGCCCCGAGTGCCGGCCCTTCCCACCCCGTCCCCCATGGCTGCCGAGGGGCTTCTTTGTCCCCCCCCCCAGCGTGAGCCACCTGCTCACCCGATTTTGCGGCCCCGAATCCACGGCAGGAAGGGCAGCTTCTTGACAATGATGGTGCCGTCGTAGAAGGACGGCTGGCAGCTCTGGGCGATGGCGTTGGCCGCCAGCACCGCCATCAGCACGGGCAGCGCGTGCACGATCTGACCTGTCAGCTCGAAGGCCAGCAGTGCCGTGGAGATGGTGTGTGTCACCGCCCCCGAGAAGGCCGCCGCCCCTGCGGGGCAGAGCCGGGGTGGGTGGCTCAGGCTGGGGGCCAGCTTCAAGGGGGGAGGTGGGCAGGGCCACGATGGTGGCCAGGGTGGGAGGTGGCCAGGGTAGGAGGTGGCCAGGGTGGGAGGTGTCTGGGAGGTCCCTGGCAGCCACCACTGGGTGTACCGTGGAGCCTGGGCATGGTCAGAGGAGAGGGATGGGGGGATTGACACAGGGACAGGACAAGAACCAAGAGGGAGTCAGGAGGTGACAGGCCTCCGTGGGAGTGGGGGTCAGATTGAGGGTCTCAGTAACCACTCATGGGCCCTGCAGTGCCACCAGCAGATCCAGGGCCCCCAGGAGGTTTGTG